TTTCAACTCTCATTTCCTTTGGACAAGTCCTTGTCTTACTGTCTTGCTCATTAATTCTCAATTCTGATTTAACTTAGTATCATCAAGATTTTTTCCTCAAACACTGATGTCGTGGATCCAGCCCCAGTCTTCTGATTTAATAGGTTTGGGCTTGAACCCAGTTATCTTTATTGTTAACAACTCATCCAGCATCTTAATGTTCATCCTCATCTGTCTGGTTAGTTCATAAACCTATGATTTCTATTATTAAGTATAGCTAGTACTCATTAGCATGAATGGTGAAACAATTGCTTTGAGCACATAAAGTTAAAAAGAAACTAAACCCAACACCCCAAGCTAAATTGTATATTAATGCCAGTTCTAGTAGAGTTGGCATAAATGTATAAATTTAGCAGGAAGAACTAAACGAACATTAAAGTCACAGAGTCAGAACTTGAACTAGGATCCCTAATGGAGATTAATATTTTCCTCAGCAGTCTGCCAGCTGAATCATGGTCTAATTAAATAGTTCAGATTTAGTGAGTTTGCAGTTAAAGTATTAGCAGATCAGAGAATGGGTAAAGCTAAAATGAGTTAGAATCCTTTCTACAAATGGGAAGTTAAATTATCATAGTAATTTGATTAAATCATTTTTTTAAATCTCAAAAGCTAAATCACAGCCTTTAAGGAATAGTTTGAAGTCTTAATTGCTGTTTGTGAGCATAGCTCTCTAGTATTTGTTCTTGCCTCATTTCCCTTGACATCTGTAATATATCTCCTGCCAGGCCAGCATAGTGGGGGAGGCAAGACCTGCCTGGCCAAAGCCTAGTGACAGGAATCTCACTTCAAGGCTGTTCAAGATCTGAACCAGTACCCCAGCATGGACATTCAAGTCAGAGTTGGGAAACAGGGGAGAAGACATTTTCGGTGATAATTTCTGCCCCCTTAAGTATATGGCTCTCCAGATCCTTTGAAATGTCTTCTGAAAAATAGTAGAGAGGAGACCCTAGGTGAAGGAGGAAGAATGGATGAAAGAATAACTTCCAACTCAGCTTTTAATTTTTTAAATTTAATTTAATTTAATTGCTGATGCCTAGGGATCTTTCCTGACAGTAATGGGGGGACTATATGCAGTGCCAGGAATTGAACTGGGGTTGCCTTCATGCAAGGAAAATTCCTTGACCCTTGTACCATCTCTCCATCTTAATATCTCCATTCCCCAACTCAGGTATTTTCCTTGTTTATTTCATTTTTTTATAAAACACCATGGATTACAAAGTTATTCATACCTGGCTTTTTGACATACAATGTTCCATTCCCAATCCCACCACCAGTGTCAATTTACCTCCAATAGGTTCCCAGATTCTCTCTCCTACCCCCCACAGCGGTGGCTCCAGAAGGTCATCTTGACAGGCACCTTTTACATTTGCTTGTTAAAGTTAATCTTGTAACTTCAGTGTTGTTGACTCTAGTTTGTACCTTAATGATACCTTATTCCTTAATGATACCTTGACTCCTGCCCCCATTGCTTCTCATCTATCTCTTCTCTATTCACTCTGTTTCCTATCTTTACTTCCCTATACTCTGGTGCCAATGTTGATATTGGCATCTCCAACTTAAAACTATTGCATTTTCTCATCCAGTTACTCTAAATACCACGTGAGATGATCCTGTAGAACTCAGTTTTGTTTTTTTAAGGCAATGTATATATTGTGTGGTAAATCCAGGTAGAACAAACGTACTTGAAGAAATGAAAACAGAACCACCTACTCTTCCTCTTAGTTCAGTGCTCCCTGATCCATAACCCTGCTGGATAAAAGAACTCAAAGTGCTTATACTAGAAACAAGGCCCTGCTAGCCACTCAATAAAGGGCATCTTTGTGATATACAGTTGGCTTTGTAACATTTCATTAGGTTGAAACATAGCTCTTATGTTTGCATTTGGTCGAGAAGGATAACATTACTATTCCCCATCTATTTATGCTTTCACATTGTGCAGCAGCCTTCTCCCTAAGCCCCTCACCTCTTTTTTGGGCGGGGGGGGGGGGGATTGAGGTGTACCTGAGCTTTACCTGGAAGTACTCAGGGGCTATTCATAGTTTGTGCTTAAGGGTCACTTGTGGTGGTATTTGGGAGATCATATGCAATGCTGGAGATTGAACCTGTGTTGTCTGTGTACAAGGCAAGCATCATAACCCCTGTACCATCTCTCCAGCCCCTCATTTCTTGGATGGACTCTGGTGTGCTGGACACTCCGTGCTGTTAAGCATGTGTGCCTGCAGCCTCAGACAGCATCAGCATTCAAGTGCAAGTTCAGAGAAGGAGGAAAGAGCAGAGCATGCCGTCCACACCACACCACTGAGACTCTCCTCCATCATTACATGCTTCCTAAGCAAATTTCTGCCCTTGTTTCTAGAAGAGGACAGAGAGGACATAGATGAGATGACTAGGCTGGATGGACACTGCCCAGGAAGGTGCCTAGGGAGAGATGCTCCCTGGGAAAAGTCACCAAGTGCAGGGTCAGGAATGTCTTTTGCTCCCCTCTGAGGGAGCTGGGGGAGGGGAGGCCATAATCAGAATCTCCTACCCAGAAAAATTTCTTTTTGGTCCCACCAGGCAAAAATCAAGGTTTGAGCACTTGTATTTCAGGGAATTTAAAACACTTTGAGAGAAATGTGTCATTAGCACCTATTTACGGCATTAACCATTTAGGTGGTCAATGTCATATGTAAATGTCAGCTGGAAAAAGGTAGTTAATTCAGCAATGATGTGGTGAATTATTCAGAGGGGCTTAGGTAAAAGAGAAAATCTAGGGCAAGTGACATGGTTTGGGGGTTAAGGTGGTGACCCTACAGGTCCCCCAACCTCTCAGGGCTCACCCAGTGATCCCCAACGCCATACCCTTAGGCCCTCAAATTGAACTGTTGCTGGTTGGCCAAGAATGGCCAGGAGGGGCCTCCGGTGTCTTGAGTACCTGGTGAAGGTCTGGAAAAAGGGAAAAAGAAAAAGAATTAAGTTATAAATGAAATATAAAGAAGTTCTTAAAATATATAGCTACCAGTGACTTTTGCCATTTTTTAGTTTAGTATAGTTTTTGTTTAGGGGCACATCTGGCAGCTCTCAAGGTTTAGTCCTGGCTCTGTGCTCAGGGATTACTCCTAGTGATGCTAGGGAGGCCATATGGAGTGCCAAGTATTGAACCCGGGTCAGCACATGTGAGGCAAGTGTCCTGCCTACTGTACTGTCACTTCAGAGCCTGGCATAATTTTTTTAAATCATGTTTGACTAGTTGATTTTAAAATGCATTTGCTATTTTCTTTCTTTTTCCTTTCTGTTCTTTCGGTATGTGTGATCTGATAGTTGACTTATATGGAAGATTAGGCCAGCTACATATATCTTGAAGCTCAGCATTCTCAGGGAACTGGAATTATTAAACATGAAGAATTCCCCCAAAGACTCCATTATGTGTAATTAACAGATAAACTGTCATCAGAATCAATAAAACGTGCTAAATGATTCAAACTTGTATATAATTAAGTGTCTGTTTTAGAGCTACTGTTGTAACTTTTATTTTTTTCCTCTCTATATCACATTTCTTGCAAGACTAATTGGGGAAGCCCTGTTAACCCTTTCCTTACTTGAGTGAATTTTATTTTTACATTAGTCACTTTAGGACAAAGTTCACCTTTACAAATGTGAAAGCTATCTCAGAATTCATTCATCAGAAGACTTTATTTGATTTTTCAGTAGAGATTTAGACTGCAAGAATGTGTTAATGATCTGTTAGCAGCACATGTAAAATCCTAAAATGAGGGCCAGAGGGATAGTGTTGAAGGTAAGGACTTACACATAGCTAACCCCAGTTCAATTTCCACCACCAAGTGGGTATTAGCAGGGCTCACTTCTGAGCACAGAGACCCTGAGTACTGCTAGGCATGGCTTTAAATCCTCACATCCTAAAATTATAAGAAATATATTGATTTATTGTGATTTTGGTATAGTCTATAAATGAACAGAGAGCTATAGTTATTGTATTTACGAATTCTTAAAGTCCTGGTCATGCTTAATTGACATACACCATCGTGTTTATTATAAGTGTTGAACAGTGTATTTAAATTTGCACAGTTTGTAAGATGACTACAGCGAGTCTAGTAAACAGATGATCTTTTCTTGTCATGCCCAAGGTATAGATTTGCTAGCAGTTATATATCTGGCCATTACTAATTTTGATATGGCCCAAGAAATAACCATGAATCTGCATAAATAATTAGAGAAATCAGCACTATTTAATAGTTTATGATGAGTGAAAAATCAGGTGAAATTAAAATTTCAGTCATTAAAGATATTTCCTTAGCAACAAAACCCTCAGACCACCGAAGTTTGGTTTGTAGCCTTGCTTTTCCTTTGGGGAAATAGGAGCTTTTTGGAGAGTATGGTCAGAATTTTAGACAACTATATCCCAGGCACTTAGATGAATAAGTGTATTAATTGTTCTTCTATAATGATTGAATTAAATAAGCACCTGGCTGATCATAAAGTAGCCAAGAGCAGCCGAGGCTGGGGCTGGGCCAAGAAGTGAGCTGATGGGCACAGGCTGGCTTAATAATGTCCACCAAGTCAGGACTGCTCCCAGAGTACAGAGCAGGAGTAAGCCTTGTACACTGCCAGGTGTGGCCCCTGAACCAAAACAAACAAATAAGACTGCAATTTGCTAAAGAATGTTTTCTTTTAGCTGAGCCCTAAGGAAGCCCCCTACCTGCCTCTGCCCTCTCTTCCCCACTCCACACCCCCCTCACACACATGTTTAAACCCTTAATCTTGAGCTCTAGTTACTAGTTTCTAAATTAGTATTGAGTATGATTTCCTTCCGAGATGTTTTTGGAAAACAGGAGAGAAAGCATCTTTGAGATGATCAGCTTAGAGAAAGCCAAGTTTCTGATTGTCTGATTGAAGTCGGATGCCACGGGTGCACAGGTGCATTTCATTATTAATGCAGTTTCCCCTTTTGCTTTGTGGCACAGATTCTATGCATATAGAGGACGTGGAGGCGGTCCAGAAGCTCCAGGATGTCTTACATGAGGCACTGCAGGATTACGAGGCTGGCCAACACATGGAAGACCCACGCCGGGCAGGCAAGATGCTGATGACACTACCCCTGCTGAGGCAGACCTCCACCAAGGCAGTGCAGCACTTCTACAACATCAAACTGGAAGGCAAGGTCCCCATGCACAAACTTTTTTTGGAAATGTTGGAGGCCAAGGTCTGACTAAAAGCCTCCTGGGCCCTCCTATCCTGCACGCCTGCAAAAGGGAATAAACCACCCCAAGAGGGCTGTCCAAGAAACAGTAGAGTTTAGTTACCAACATCAGAAATCAACAAGGACTGCCCTGATCTTGGAGCAGCAAGACTAGGAAGCAGCATTCCCACCCTGCTCTTTCTTCATTAGTAATTTCTTTCTCCCTGTCTCTGCTTCTCCTCCTCTGCCTGCTCACTTCTTTCCCTCCCTGCTTTGCTCCCTGTGTCTAACTCCTTTCTGCCTCACTTCTTGACTTCCTTAATTACTGGTGGCTCCCTTTCTTCTTCGCTTATTTCCCCTCCCTCCCTCCCTCCTTCCATATCGCTCTCTTTTTTTCTCAGCCTCCTTCTGTTCTATTGAATTTTTAATGCATCTCCTAAGAAAATTCTTCTTCCTTCCTCCTGCACTCTCTCCCTCTTTCCTTCCTTCTTTCCTCTGCTGCTAAACTCTTAAAGAAGTCGCTAATTGAACAGAGATGGAAGCCAGCCCTGCCAAAGGATGGAGGATCCATAATATGGATGCCAGTGAATTTATTGTGAACCATAATGTCCCCAGTGACTAAGGAATCAAAGAGAGAGAACCATCGTCCCTAAAAGGACAGTGCAACTTAAGCAAATTGACAGTGCAGTATTAGATTTCATGGGGGCAGCCTCTAATTAGCCAACTCAAGCAACGTTGCCTCGGCTGCTTCTCATCATTGCTTTTCCATCTAGATCAGTTACAGCCATTTGATTCCTTAATTGTTTTTTCAAGTCTTCCAGGTATTGGTTAGTTTAACTACTATGTAACTTTTTCAGGGAATAGTTTAAGCTTTATTCATTCATGCAATACTAAAGAAAATAAGAATACTGCGATTTTGCGCTGGCTTTGAACAATGATGAACAATAAAAATGAAGGATACATGAATCCTGAAGGAAGATTTTTAAAGATTAAAAAACAAATGTTTTGTTTCTTCTTATAAATGGAGATTTTTTTGTACCAGCTTTACCACTTTTCAGCCATTTATTAATATGGGAATTTAACTTACTCAAGCAATAGTTGAAGGAAGGTGCATACATCTCGGATGCAATCTATGTCGTGTGCCGTTCTGGTCCCAGACATCCATTTTCATGAGCTCCAGTGTACCTAAATGTTCATGATGTGAGGATTAGAACATACCTGCCGTGACTCACAGCCGTCGCCCACGTAAGCCCTGCGCACGGAATCCAGACCCACATAGCCATCAGGAGGAAAACACCTCTCTCCCGGGCGGTGCAGTGGCCTTCTGATTTCTAGTTGCCTCGGTGATTAGTAATGAGACCCTGTGTGAAATGACAGTTCTTGTCCCAGAAGGAACTGTGAGCCAGTTAAGCATTTTTTGAGGCAATAAGGCAAAAGCCAGAATTTGGGGCAAAAAATAAATGTATCTCTTATCAAAGACAGCAGACGCCTGACCAAATTCTAATATGTAATCTCTGAGTTGATTCATTTAGGAATGTTTGTTTAAATTAATCTGCAGTTTTACCAATTACTCAGCCAATAAGTGTGCTTTTCAACCAGTTCGATCACAGCAAGAAAGTCAGTCAGGTTCCAGACTGTTAATAGGTGTAATCTAATGAAGAAATCAATTAGATACCCCAGAAATCTGCAGTCGCTGAATAACCAATAAACAGTAACCTCCATCAAATGCTATACCAATGGACCAGTGTTAGTAGCTGCTCCCTGTACTATGTGAATGGTCTTATTCTATGTACACAGATGTAATTAAAATTGTAATCCTAACAAGCAAAAGAAATGTAGTTCAGCTTTTCAATGTTTCATGTTTGCTGTGCTTTTCTGAATTTTATGTTGCATTCAAAGATTGTTGTCTTGTTCTTGTGGCGTTTGGATTCTTGTGGTGTGTGCTTTTAGACACAGGGTAGAATTAGAGACAATATTGGATGTACAATTCCTCAGGAGACTACAATAGTATATTCTTTACCAGTAATAAGGTTCTTCCTACTAATAATTAAGAGATCGAAACTCCAAACAAGTATTCATTATGAACAGATACACATCAAAATCATAATATTTTCAAAACAAGGAATAATTTCTCTAATGGTTTATTATAGAATACCAATGTATAGCTTAGAAATAAAACTTTGAATATTTCAAGAATATAGATAAGTCTAATTTTTAAATGCTGTATATATGGCTTTCACTCAACGGATCTCTCAGATGTTGTTATTAACTTTCTCTGTGTTGTTGCAAAACTCTTTGGTGCGGACACGTTTCCAAAACTACTGCTACTTTGTGTGCTTTAAACAAAATACCTTGGGCTGGTGCTTCATCAGCCTAGCGCTAGGAATACTGTGTATCTATCATTAGCTATATGGGACTATATGGGAGTATGTTGTAGATTGTGGTTTCTCAGTAGAGAAGTGATTGTAGTGTGATTCTAGATAAATCATCATTAGCAATTCATTCAGATGGTCAATAACTTGAAATTTATAGCTGTGATAGGGGTTCAGAAATTGGCACATCCCTTTAAAAATAACAACAGCAAAATACAACTCCTGGGAATAAACAAAAGGTGCTGATTCTCTAACATTATTTCTGTATGTGTTTTAAAAAAAAGATTCTTTTTCCAGAAAGTTTCTGCAGGGTTTTAGTTGCTACTATTCAACCACACTATATCTAGAGAAAGTCTGTCCAATGTATGCATTGCTTTTACTGTATCACATTAAAGTACTTGGGCTTCAGAAATAAAAACTGACCAACTGAAAATAGGAGTTGGAGATAGATGGGAAAAGAAGGAAGTATGATTTTTAGTTTTCAATCTAAGTGACTCAGCATTACAAAAGACCAAGTTCCTCACAACTAGGAAACACAACCAAAACTCAGAGCTAAAAAGAACTGCACGGGCTTTAGGGTAAAATGCTCATCTCACACCTCACGGGAGGTAAGTTTTTTTCATGTTTCAAGCAAGACCATTTACTTAATGTGAAGTTTTGGAAAGTTGCCAAGTTGTACATTTTAGCCATGTGATTTTTTTAATGTTACATTTGCTTCTTTGAGGTTTTTTTCTTATTTAAAGCAATATGATTGTGTGACTCCCTGTGGTTACATTTGTGTTCCAATCAGATTAGATTGTTGTATTTATTCCACTATTTTGCATTTAAATGATAACATAAAAGATATAAAAAATTTAAAACTGCTATTTTTCTTATAGAAGAGAAAATGGGTGTTGGTGATTGTATTTTAATTATTTAAGCGTCTCTGTTTACCTGCCTAGGAAAACATTTTATGGCAGTCTTATGTGCAAAGATCGTAAAAGGACAAAAAATTTAAACTGCTTATAATAATCCAGGAGTTGCATTATAGCCAGTAGTAAAAATAATAATAATAATAATAATAATAATAATAAACCATGTCTATAGCTGTAGGTGGGTTTCACATCTGTAAAGCAATCAATTGTATATTTTTGTGATGTGTACCATACCGTGTGCTACCACAGATGTCATTTGTGTGAATTTATTTATTTTATATTGTATATATTGTTAAATGCAAAAAGGAGATATGATTCTGTAACTCCAATCAGTTCAGATGTGTAACTCAAATTATTATACCTTTCAGGATGATAGTAGAGCAATATTAAACAAGCTTACACTTTTGATTATTCTTTTGCACTGTGTTTCTTTTCCCCCACACCCGCCACCCAGCAAAAAACCAACCAATAAACACTGCCCTTTGTTGCCTCTGTTCAGAGTGTCTCTGAGTACCTGTTCCCTAAAAATAAAGTAGGAGTTTAAATAAGAGCTATATAAAGGTTTGTCAGAATGAATTCTAGGGTGCCAAGAGATAGTTTGCATATTTAAGAGTATGCAAAGTGTCTTGTGGCACATTAGAATTCATTCTGACAAGCCTTTATATAGCTCTTATTTAATCTTAAAGCGCCCCATCAGCCTGCATTACTCAAAATCATCACCTCTGTGTCAATGTCATTACAGGAAGCTGCCCCCACCCCCACTCCGCAGGCTAGGTTCCTATTTAAACAGGCTGAGAGGTGCCCCTGTTCTATCTCTCCAGTCACTAGAAAAGCAGACACTGGAACCGAGGGCCTGGCAAGGTGCAGACCTGGCTGTGTGGCCCAAGATACTGCTGAGCAAATTTCTCAATGGGTTTCCTGGGTGAGCGCCTTGCCCTTTGAGGAGAGAGAGCAGTCTTAGAATTCCTGACAGCCAGGGGCCTCCCTTGGTCTCTCCAGCTCTGAAGGGTCGGGCCCATCGCAGTTCCTAGTCAGCTTGGCTTCCCTGCTCTCCACTGTATCCCAGAACAGGTGCTCATCCCTGCTCTTCTTACCCAGAGATTCAGAGATTATTCTGTCACAGTGCTTGGCTACCCAGCTTGTCACCTCTTGGAGAAGGTTGGTTCTCTCCCACCTGCAAGGAGCTGATGACAAGGAGGTGGCTAGAGAGAAGGTCAGGAGTGTTGTATTCCTGAACTAGCTCTTACCTTTCCCCTGTCTTAATGTCCTTTAAGTGGCACTAGAGCCCTGTGAGCTAACAGGTTTCTCAGCTATTTTCAGAGAAATCAGTAGAGAGACGCTGAGTCCCAGATGAACACTTGGAGGGGCAGCAGCAGTCTGTCAGCTGGTGGGGCCAGAGTGAGTCCCGCACGGCCACCTGCACATGCTCTCTGGAGCTGAGCTGTCTGAGTTCTCTAGCCAGTTAGAATTTTGAAGGAGTACGCAGCATTTTATTTTATTTTATTTTTGGTTTGGTGGCCACTTCTGGCAGGTTTTCATTTAGAAAGACTATAGAGTAACTTTTATTTTTTGACTTGGAGGCCATACCCAGTGGTGCATAGGGCTCCAGAACTCTGCTCAGAAGTCACTCCAGGGCAGTGCATGGTGAACAATATGAGTTGTTGGCAAGGCAACCCAGATCAGTTGTATGCAAGGCAACCATTCTGCCTGCTCTACCATTACTCTGTTTTCAACTAAGCAAATTTATTGGTGCATCTTGACCAAGGAGAGATAAAGAAGAGATTGGATATTCAGCATGTCATGATTCTCAAAATATCAAGTAGCCCTGATCAATGGTGTCTGTGGGAAGGGGCGGCCTTTTATTTGATCTTGGTTTTTCTTCTTTCCCTCCCTAAATCTTGTGGCTTCCAAATTTTGCCTATACATTGTCATTGCCCTGAGGAGTGTTTAAGATTCTTAATGCTTTTATCTCAGCCTCTGGGAGACTAGAATTGAAATAGTCTGAGATGTGGCCTGGGCTTTGGAATTGACCAAAATAAAAACAAACTAAAAACAACTTTAAGTGCTTTGAAAGCAAAGGCCGGAGAAGGTTGCCTGTGCTTTAAACTTTTGTACTTTCATTATCTGTAATCTGTATTGCAAACCACAATACCCATAAGTAGAGACAGAGAGTAAGAGGGCAATTCTCTGCCATAGAGGCAGGGGGAGGGTTAGGATGAGGGTGGGGAAGGGATACTGGGGACATTGGTGGTGGAAAAGGTACACTGGTGGAGGGATGAGTGTTCAATCATCGTATGACTGAAACTCAAACATGAAAGTTTTTTAACTGTAGCTCATGCTGAATCAATTTAAAAAATCTTTATACTTAAACTTTTATAACTATTTTTAAAAGTTCTTTTTTAAACAATTTTTTGTGCATTGTAAACAGAAAAAGTCAGAACTGTCCTCAGAAATTCAAAGCCTTTCTCTATGTCAGCTTGAATTTCTGTGGGGGATGGAGATGGCTTTTTTTTCACTTTTTTTTTTCATTTTTATTAGTGAGACACCATGAGGTACAGTTGTAGACTTACAAATTTTTGTGCTTGGGTTTCAATTATACAATGATCAAATACCCAAGATGGCTTGTTTTTATGTTAAGAAAACAGAACTAACCTTTTCTTCCTCATCTTACAAAGCCAGAGAGGTAGACTTCCACTGCCCATGCCTCTGCTTTCCCATCCCGGCCTTCCTGCTCCCAGGTAAACAGCTGATGTGAAATAGCTCCTGCCCCACAGAATCCCAGAGGGACCTTCTCAAGAACTTCGACAGGAAGGATCCCATTGAAGCTTTCTTTCTTAGAACCCTACTCATTACATCATTCGATGTAGGGTAAAGTTTACTGAACGTATTTGAAAAGACTTATTCCCCCACTACAAAACAAGAGGGGAACACATGAGGACAAAATTGATTTGTGGGGTTGATATCTCTTCTCCATATTTTCCAAGTTGTTGATTTAGGGAAGAGGTAGAAATGAGATGGAAATAAGTCTGTTTCATCCTGTTTCAGAGTGTAAGCCTCTGAAAAATCCTTAGGTACACTTTGCTTGTGGTGAAAACGAGCTCGGGATTCATTGCAAAAGAAAGAGACAGGGCGTTTGTTCCCTCCACAGTGTTTACAGCGAATGGATCTTTCCCTAGACCCACAGATGTGGGCAGAGGAGTTGAGATCAATGCTTGCTTCCAGCCCTTTCAAATTTCTCAGCCTTGGTTTTAAGGCCTTTCTATGGCATGGAGAAACCAGAAGGGAAATAAGTAGAATTCGATTGATTGTATGCTACATCTTATTATGAAACAAATAGAAAAGAAAGGAATTTCAAAATATAATCCCTCCATCCCAGGAGCATGTGTCTTGTTCTCCTGAAGTTAAAGGTCTGAAATAATGTGCCCATCAGAGGCTCAATGTTGCATGTCCAAGCCAGTTGGTCCAAGGGCTTGTTATGATGGTAATGACCTCCTGAAACGTGAGCTTGGCTTGCAACAATACAATTGCTACCAGCTCACCCGCTGGGAGAAATATTTTATTATTGTCAAATGTCCTCCACAGAGATTTGTTTTGCCTGTTCCTGTTTAAATTAAATTCAAAGCAGAACTGCATTACTATTTCTCTGGAGTATATTTGAGATAAACTAGTCTCAAAATTTAGGATTCCTGGCTAGTTCAAATTTGTTTATTAGCACAAAAATTATAATATGTGACACCATAGCTGCAGGAACATTATGATTGCAGACACACAAGAGATTTACATACTGAGTCCATGGCCTCAGAGAGAGAACTCCCTTTTTCATTACTGATGCCAGTCAGATGAATAATTAACTATTCCATCAATTGTACACCTTAGAAAAAGATGTTTCAGTATGCTAACACATTGCCATAACATGCCACCGAATTTGATCATGGAAAAATTTGCTCCAAGTGAAGCACTTTTGAACTTAAGCCCATTAACCAAACGTGTGTGGAAATATACTTTAAAACAGGAGCATGTGCCATCACGCAGAAGCCCAAAGCTTGAAGGAAAGTGCTATTTGAACTTCATACATGTTTTCTGTTGTTATTATTACTGAAATGAGTTGACATGAATGTTCTAGAATCCAGAGAATTCTTTGTTTTGTCAGAGCTTCTAAGCTGCTTGATAAAAGCTTTGGAAACAGTGAAACTAAAGCTTATTCAAGTTTTGCTGCTTGCAGAAAATTAGAACTTGACCTTATTCTAAATAAAAGTGCTGATGACCTGTGTGCCAATCAGAGTGGTTTGTGCATTCCGCAGTGGATTATGCTCTGGGGAACTGTCTTTAGGAAATGGAAACTGCGGTTAGGGGTAGCCAAAAGTGCCTAACAGGAAAACATTTCAGACTTGCAAGGGCTTTAAGCCACACGATTCACACACCAATCCAATAAGCCATGCTCAGTCAAATTTCACAGTTTCCTTGGGAAGTGAAGAAGTGTCTGCTATTTGACAAAACAGCACTGAAAACCAAAGTCATCAGAGCTATTCCAAAATGAGGTCTAGGCAAGCATTGGCTGCTTTTCCCCTTGAATGATGTGATTTCCATTCACTATGGAAGAAAAGTGCTAAATATTAATGTACAAAAAAATTCCACAGCTAGTTCTGTGCTAATCGCACTCATTGCTTTCTCTAGACTTTTATTTTGCCTGGGATTTTTTCAGGGAACAATATCAATTGTATCTATATAAATCAAAACTATTGTATCTATATAAATCAAGACTATTTCTAAGTGCATGTATTTAAAAATCCTTTTATTTAGGGAAATATACAGTCAACAGGGCTGGAGCAATAGCACAGTGGGTTAGGTGTTTGCCTTGCATGCGGCCAACCTGGGTTTGATTCCTTCACCCATCTTGGAGAGCCCAGCAAACTACCAAGAGTATTTAGCCCGCACAGCAAAGCCTGGAAAGCTACCCGTGATGTATTCGATATGCCAAAAACAGTGACAACAAGTCTCACAATTTGTTGTGAGACGTTACTGGTGCCCACTCGAGCAAATTGAACAACGGGAGTACAGTGCTACAGAGCTATATAGTCAAACATCATTTTGTATATATATATATATATATATATATATATATATATATATATTTAAAAAGTACATTGGAATGAGGTTTTTTTGTTGTTTTGTTTTGGGACCTTCCATGTGGTACTCCGGATTCCCTCCTGTCAGGGTCCGTGATTGGATCCAGGTCAGATACATGCAAGGCAAACATCCTCCCCACTTTGCTATCATTCCCACCCCAACAAAGGTGGAATTTTTTTGACCCTGGGAACTTCTAAGAGTTGGTGGTACTTACCCTGGGGAAAAGTGCTTGAATAGACAGGAGGCTGCAGTCCAGTCACTTAGCAGGAATCCCCTGACAG